GAGGGACTGCTAGCCAGGGAAAAGTTGATAAAGCCATTGCACGGTATGTTGTAGAACACATGAAGGCTATTTCTACTATTTCTATTTCTATTTCTTGATCAACAGATTGTATTATTCTCCGATGCAATAACAGTACTGCAACGAAGGCTATAAGGGCATTAATGGGAGCCTTTTTTTAAGTAACTAATGTGTTACTGTTCACAGTAAGTAATCATCAGTAAAGTAACTGAGTTACTTTTGAAATGAAGTAACTGATAATGGTAACTAGTTTCTGGTTTGCAGTAACTAGCACAACACTGGTCAGGAGATGACCCTACTTTTCACTTAATTGATATCCTTCATAACCATGTAATTGTAAGCATGACATCGGCAGTATCATCGAGTTGTTATACAGTCCATGCATGTGATACAGATGTTTTATTATATAATTGTTTTATATTTCGGAGAGTACTATATACTATATATATAAATTACAAGACTATTAGAATGATTCGTTTTTTCTTAAAACCACACTTAATTTGTTCATCCATCCAACAAAAAAATATTGTTTTACATATTGCTCTCGATCTCTCTTGAAGTAAAATCTTATAGCTGACTAATGAATAAAATAGAATAGATACTTGAAACTGTACTGGTGCATTTGGTACTTCCTTGTTAAAGAAGCTGTAAAAGCGAAAGCTGTTGTGTGCCCAACGGAACTACAAAATAGATCAAATTCAACAACTTCTGTGTATAACCTAATTTTCAAGAATCGATTAGGCAGAGCCCATAGATGTTAGAGGTGTTTTTGGTCCATGTTTCTCTCAACAGATTAGATCTTATAATGTCCAACCTGCATGACTTGGAATGAGCTTAAACAATCAATTCTAGTAGTGAGCTTCTATTGAGTTTTAATCAAGATTTCTACTTTCTTCTGTCTTCTCTCACGGTTGCCCGGCCTGCAGATTTCACAGGTCAAGGAACCATTCAGAAAGCTTTAATTAGCTTTCTCAGCTAATGAGTTCTCAGGCATCATACAAATTGCTCTGTCAAACCCTGACTTTGAGCCAGCTTGGATTGTTTGGGTGTGAGCTCAACAGAATGAGGGACTTTTAATCATGTTCAAATTCATTACCCCCTAAATGAGTAATGTTTCATTCTTCCCAGTCATTTGCCCCCTATTCGTAGTTA